ACACCATAAAGCTATTACAAAATATAATTTGGTGGAGGACAGATTTGAACTATTAATTACTAAACTATTACCACAATATTTTTCCAAACATCATGACTTGTAATTTCTTTATTTGCCATAGGGTGTCTATAACTAATGCCAATTTATGCTGCACAAGAAAAATTTAAAGCATAAATTGACTGAATAGATTTCCATGCTAATAAACTCAGTGGAGGATATAGACATCAATTTGCACAAAAACTTGTCCATACCAATGGCTGTTTTACCCACAAAGGAGGACAGAGTCAAGAGAAAAATATCAGGAGCAGGGAGCCACAAACCAACAATTTTGCAAATTACTTATTGCATTTCCTTTATCAGTCATGCTCCCCAAGTCAAAGGTAGTTTATTTACCACTGAGGAAATTTCAGTGAATGAAGCAAACAACGAATTTGTGCTCAAAACACATTGTAGCTCTCCCTTAACAGTTTTCCTCAGATTGAGTCCTAATTTATACATAAATATTTATATATAGTAACTACATAAATTTTTAATGTAATGCTCCCTATGATACTAAAACTCACATATTTAAACCTCTATTTTATAAGTGAACTCAGCATTAGAGATATTAATTAGCTTAGCCACAGGGATGTTACTCATACATGGTAGAATGGACCAGTCAGAATACAATGAAAATAGAGCTAGTGAATTTTAACTAGTGATGTTCAAAACTCACTGCCATAAATTCAACTCTATTATGAAAATTTATGTAGCTTAATAGTATTTTACTTTTTAAAATATTTTTAATATAATAAAAATATTTAACATGAGATTTACACTTTTAAGAAAATTTTAGGTATACAGTGCAGCATTTTTTCCTACAGATACAATATCCTAAAGTGAATTTCAAAAACTTTTTGTTGTCAATTTACTGAAATTTTATGCCTATTAATTAAAAACTCTCCAGTTCCTTTTTCCTCTAGTATCTGGTTAGTACCACTGAAATATTTGATTTTATCAATTTGAGTCTTCTTGATCCACTATGTAAATAAAATGATGCAGTTTGTCCTTCTGTGTCTGAATTACTTTTGGCATGACCTTAAGCTTCATTCATGCCACCCTTTGCAAAACATTCTCTCTTCCCACTCTATAATATTCTCATGGATGTATATATCACATATTCTGTATCCATTCATGAATAGATGGGCATTTGCACTGATGTCACATCTTGGCTCTTGTGAGTGGTGCTGCAATAACCAAAGAGGTGATAATGTCTCTTTAAGATCATGATTTCAGTTATTTTGAACAAATATCCAGAAATAGGATTGTTGAATTAAATCTTTGAACTGTCCAGATTAAAACTTATTCTAAAAGTACTTTTGATTTAAGGTATACATAATCCTAAATTATAATGAATTTATAGAAGATAATTGCTTATACATTATACAAAATATACATTAACATATACGTAGAGTTGTATTCATATATATCATATAGAGACATTTATGTAAATGTAGATAAATAATATATACAGTGATCCCACAGAATATACATTATATAGAATGTCTTGTTTCTTGTAGCTTTCTTTAGTAATATTTCCTTATCTTTGTAGTTCACAGAAGACTATTGTGGTTTAATCTAACATATCCCCAAATATCATCTGTTCAGAAGTGGTCTTCTGGAAGGTGGTTGAGTTATGAAGACACTATAGTTAGGAAGAGAATGATCTATTGATGAATTCATATCTGAGTGTACTGTTAGGATGATGGATCTACTTGAAAGAGGTGGGTAACTGGGGTATAACCTAGAATGGTATATTTTTGTGCTTAAATTCTCGTTGTTCTCTACTTTTCCTGCATGCCATAAATTGATTTTCTTTTTCCACATGTTTCCTACCATGCCATTTTTGTCTTGGAACCAGCGGACCATAACTGAACTGAACCCTCTAAAATAGTATGCCCAAATAACCTTCTTCTTTGTCACAGTGACTGAAAAATAATAGTATGTTAATGTTAATGTCACCTCCTGTCTGCAATGACATTAATATGTATGGGTAGTAATTTGTATTGTAGTATTGGATGTGATGTTCTATTTATTTTTTTCTTTTTTTTATGTGGGCTTCAATTTTGACATTATCAATGGACTCATCTTCTAATTCACAGTATTTTTATGAACTACCAAATCTGCTTATGATGTTTATCTAATTATTTCTTAAAATTTCAAAATACTGGTTTTGTTTTGACTCAGAAAGTTTTTTTTTTTATACTTTCAGTTTCTCATCTGTATATCCATTAATACCATTGTGTCTTAAAATTACTGAATAAATTTATAACATTGCTTTCATAATACTGTCAGTTAAATCAACCTTAGGGTATCTTTTATTTGTTTTCTTCTATTGTATACTTCATACTTTTCAGTTTCTTTGGTTGTATATTTATGCATTTATGGTGTGCATTATAAATCCACATTGGTAAGAATTTGATTATGTTATCTTCCTTTGAGGAGAGATTCATATACTTTATTCAGAGTGTAATTAATTTATTGATTGGACATAATGGTGTCTTGGAAATTTTGTTTATTATTTGCTAGGGAATGTCTAGAATAGTTTTACTTTGAGGCATGATTATCTCACTTCAACAGTATAGCTTTTGGTCTCTTCTGCTTCAACAAGCTTGTGGTAAAATTTCCAAGCCCTAGATAGTTGCAACTCTATATCTCCTGGAGTTATGGAAACCTTGGGCAGTGCACTGAGCTTCTAAGTTCTCCAGCATTTGATTCTCCCAGGCATCATGTGCCTCATTATGTATACACAGAACTGTATGTCCGCCCAGTCAGGGAGAGGTTTGCACAGATTTCTGGTGTGCCTTCTCTTTGACATTTTTCTTTCCAGACCAGCTTTGTAAATTTATTTATCTCCACCATCCCAAAGTCGTATCCATGTCTCCTTTTTTCCTGCCCACTGACAGGGTTGATCTCTGAGGATTTCACTTCCCCTGCAAAAACATATAAAATAGGATCTAAGACAGAATGTTAGGACATGTGAACTTCAAATTAGATGGCTCCCATTATAAAATGAATTAAAAATTGGAATGTTTTTGTTAAAGAACTGAAAGTAAACATGAGCTTACATTTACCTTTATTTATCATGGTAGGGAAAAACTTGTAGCATTGTACTCTATCATGGCCAGAACCAAGTTATTAAATCAGGGTAGGGGGAAGAATTACTTAACAGATCTCTGGCTTCTTACTTTCTTGAAGTGCTTTACTTCACTTACCAGTTTGCATTGTTGCCTCTCAGACAATCTTCATAAACTCTCTCGTTTGAAGTGTTTTGTGATTACTCCACCTTGCTTTATATGCAGTATAATTCTTATGTCTATTCTTCACTTTACAGTGAATTTGGAAATAATATCATCTTGCTTGCTATGATTTTTACTAAACTAAAGTATATTACCTAAATTACTTCAGTATGCCTAGGTGGTTAAATATATTTCTTTTATGAGATAAAGTTATGATTTAGACTTATGTGTTTTATTTCAGTAACTACAGGCACACTAGTTACATATTTAGTAATTACATTAAATTACGATAACATTCTAATCTATTATTTAAAATCATTACTATGCATTTTGGATTACCTAATATTTTACTATTTCTCTTACTATATCATGATATAGCCATTAGATAAATAAAATTTTGAATTATCTTAATAATATAAATTTCTTATAGTATGTGCCTTTACTTTTATGGTATGAAAAATGTATAAAGGGAGATTTAGTGATATCAAGGGCCAAACGATTATTTAATGCCTGAGCTACATTTCAAGCACCATTTTCCAACTTCTCATTCAGTGCTCTTTGTCTAAAACACTCTGAAAGGGACTTTTATAAACGATTTATAAAGAAATAGAATATTTTTCCAACCTGGCTGGAGGAAATTACAGAAGTTATTTGAAATTATTGTAAAGAAAGAATAGAAAATCTTTCACTGAATATATTTTAGAGCAATGTAGAACAATTTTATTGAACAGTCTGAACTTTGGGTTAAGTGCAAAAGCAAAACTAATTTAATTTTTCTTCACTCACCCACACCTTCCTAAATATATTTTCCTTCTTGCTGTGTGGAAGATATTATCAATATTCTAGGACATGGGGCTGGGGATTTAGCTCAGTGGCAAAAGCGCCTGCCTGGCAAGCGCAAGGTCGTGAGTTCGGTTCCCAGTACCGGAGAAAAACCAAAAAAAAAAAAAAAAAATATTCTAGGACAGCATCATCCATCTCCCAATGATAGTGGTTATTTTTGAAAACTTCAGTTGATTCCATCTTTACACTCTGATCTCATACTCATTTTAAGTATGAACTCTTTTCCATCGCACTGTGAAATGATAGAAGTGGCAAGTGTGGTCTGTGTTTCATTCTTTCTCTTTTTTCCTTAGTTTTGAGAAGACGCATTGACTGTGCCCAGAATTTCTCTCCCTTCTTCATCCTCTATGTCATGAAAGTTCAGATAAGGAAGGTAAGAAGAAAGGATATGTGTCTCTCCATTACCTAAAACTTTTCATTCCATTGATTGTGACAGTGTTTCTGGCTCTATTCTCTTTGTGCAGAAGACAAGAAATTCTAATTCTCTAGACAAGCATACATGGGTGATCTTGGCTTTCGTTAGTAAAACCATCCATCTTTCATTGATTTTCAGTGTCTGACTAATTTCATCCCACTTACCTATATCAGCTTGCACCCTTAAATTCCACCTGAAACTCTCCTTTGCCCTGGGGTGGCATATCGCAAAAATTAATATTAATGTAACCTAAGAAATCACTGAAATTTAAGTAATATAATTGAATAAGAGTACCCAGTTTAGAAAAGGGTTTTTTTCTTTTTTTTGGTACAGGGAATTAAACTCATGATCTGGTGCTTGCCAAGCAGGCACTGTGCCACTGAGCTATATCCCCAGCCCCACAAAAGGCTTTCTATAGATTACTTTACCTCAAAAATTTAAAACAGCAGGTTTTCCCACAATGGTCAAATGAAATGTAAAATTGCTGCATTGTTCTCAAAATTTACACAAATTACTTGAATATGAAAAAGAAACCATCTCCATATAAAGACATCTGTATTACTCTGGCATTTTAGACTAAATTTTAATTTAAAATAAAATGATTCTCATAACTTATGTTAACTCATTAACAGTTATCATCATGATGATAAAATTTTCCTTAGTGACCAATTATGTTCCATGTTTGTTAAAAGACTTTATGGAAAGAAAATAGAGCTGAGGCTCTTGTCTGTACGTCTATTCTCTGTGTAGCTCCTTCTTCCACTCATTATGTGTCGGAAGGGAGGCAGAACATCTTCCTAACTACTCAGACACATTTTGTCTATGTTTTAATACTTAACTGTATTATTAATGTATTATTACCAGTGTTAACAACTGAGTCATTATTTCTTATACTTCCTGCCAATATATACCATAGTGTGGGGGTAATGGTAAATCTCTATTTATAAATTTCTCCTTTAAATTAGAGTGATTAGCAATAGGAATTTGTTCACAATTTTATAGTGCTTTATTTTAAGACAGATTTATATAATGTAGGCAATTAATATTAAAGATAGTGGGAATGAAGGAATGTGGATGTAAAACATTGACATTTCAAGAGAACACCAATATATTAATATGTTAGTATTGTATATTAATGGAGAAAATTTTCATTTAGTTGCTTTTATATTTATTTTATAAATGGAGTATCTTTTGCAAAAGCTCTTGGCCTTAGTTATATTGATACTATATCGCATTATACTTTGCTTTCCTTTTTCTGATTCTTTTCTCCTTCTTTCCTCATCCTTCCTTTCCTCTCCTTCCCCTTTTCTTCCTATTATAATCTAACGTGTTTACCCTCCACCTATGCCATCCATTCAGCCAAAGCCAGTGTTCCTTCCTGGCACTTTCTAATTACATGATAAACTTTGCAGTATGTCATTCCTCACTTGCCCTAATCAGGATTGCCACTGGAGAATGACAAACTCTCAGCGTAACACTTTGCTAAGCAGCAACTATGTGAAGTCATTGGTAATAAAGAAATCAACTTATGTAACTTTACCAGGAAAAGTATTTACATCCTGCCAGTATGTATTCTAACAACCAAAATATTGTCACGTGTCCATCCTTTGGCTTTTTCCAGAGAGCCATACAATTTGAAACTTTCATAGCTTTTGAACCAAGGGCAAAAGAAGTGTCCACACATGAAATGAGAAAGTTACACATTTTCTTCCATGTATACCAATGACTAAGTTAGATAATAGGAATCAAGAAAGGATTTTTACTATGTTGCCTTTTTCTATTTTCACTTAAACATTGAAGCTGTTTTCATTTCTGAAAAATGATCTCTTCTTTTAAGAAATATTTTAAACTATTTACCAGGAAAAATCATCTTATTTTTGTTATTAAAATAAGAAAAAGTTTTCTTACTTTTATGATAAACAATCTGTTTGCTTGTACTATCCGAATACACTTAATATGTAAAGGTATTCAGAGAGCCTGCTGGCAGTGCAGATTACCATAAATTAAGTAGATGAGAAGGAAGACACACACTGATTTGATGCTTGCAAAAATGCAATAGATTTATAGGAACTGAGCAATTTGATACTTATGCTTACATATTCTCTGTGCCTTATAATTCTAAATAGATAGTCTTAGTATCACATAGCAAGAATACATAATTACCTTTTCTATTGTGATGATTTTTGACATTTCAGTGGTGTTAAAATGCTGTAGATACATTTTGCTTGATTTTATGGTAATAGCAAAACAACTATCAATACAAATATGATAGAATATTTTAATTTGCATGCAGTGTGATGAATTATAAACCAAACTGTTGATTTTTTTCGATTACTACATGAAGACTATAAGTCACAACTGCCTAAAATCAATGATGGATTGAAAATACATAAACAGGAAAATACAGAAAATAAAATTATAGTTCATTGTTTCGGGTAACAATATAATTCAATTGTAGAAAAGCCCTGGTAGACAAGGGGTAAAGGAATCATAATTTATAATAATGTGTTTTGTGAACTTTGTACAATAAATTGTTTCCCAAAGCTCAGATAATTCAAATGTAAAATGAAAGTTTAATGTCGAAAAACTAAACATTTGTAGTCTTTTTAGAGATAAAATCTATGAGGTAATAATTTAATGCAATTGAGGCAAGGCCATCACAGCAAACCACTCTTCACATCCCTCTTTGTTTTCCTATTCCTCCATTCTACTTACTTTTCTCCTGTTAGTCCCTTTACATAAGTGGGATTTCAGGGGTATGCACCAATGTTCCCGGCATGCTCCATTGTCTTTCATGGTCCACAATGTGCAGATGAGATTGGCTTCATGGGACTGTAGAACTTCCCCTGGAAGTTTAAGTTATGGTGTTAGTTTAGATGGAAAATATCTTGCAAATTTGGGGCACTGTTGTATGGAATAAGTTGTGTAATGATCTGTGGTACCATCCATAACAGCCATTGTTAATTTCCTATCATCTTGTTTTGAAATACTGTACTATTTTTATTGTTTCTGTGTTGTTTTGTCTTGATTGTTGTTATTTTGCTATTGTTTCTTTCTCTTTAAAATAAAAAAGGAGCCGGGGATATAGCTCAGGGGCACAAGCACCTGCCTGGCAAGGGCAAGGTCATGAGTTTGATTTCTGGCAACAAAATAAATAAGTAAACAAATAGAAAATAAAATAAAATAAAAAGGAATAAGGATGAAAATAAGAATTGAATCTTTAAGTGGAAGAATAATGATATAAAATTGATATTATTAAAATTGAATATTTTGGGAATGAAAATAAGATACTAAATTATCTATATTTAGGTAATCATTGAAATTTGAAGGGAATGAATGATTTTTAACTGTACCTATCATCCTTAAAAGGAGTGTGTTTAATGTGTGAAGAAATAAGACTAAACTAAAATTTTTCAACATACTTATAATTTAAAAAATACATCGTCATAATATTTAGTATGAACTAGGATAAAATTATTTTAACAGCTTATTCAAATCTAAGTATTTCAAATGCAGAAAGAATAAAGCATCCTAGCCTTCTATATTTCAAAAATGAGACTTCTGATGATTTTCATGATTCTTTGTAAATTATGCTAAAACCTCACTCAGACTTTGATTCCCAGAATTTGATGTACATTCACCCTGGAACTAATCAGAGTTGTAAGAATAATTTGAGCACATTTCTAGGACATACACCTTTTAAAAAACTTCTGAGGCTCTAACAATCTCGTGCTGGTTCCTTTTGTAAAAATTTAAATTTAAATGAATGGGATTTGCTTCATTTCATGGATGATGAACAGATATCCATAAAAGGACCTAGGAGAGAGCGGGATAGGAAAAGTGTTAGTGTTAGTTTCCTAACAGAAACTACACAAACTGCGTGGGGCTTACTGTCCCATTTTAAAAGCATTGCGTTGTTGTTAGTAGTATAGTTTATTAAAAAACAGAAAAAGCCAAAGAGATGTTAAGCTGGTAGAGTGCTGGGATGATTTACATAGAATAGGATGGATGTGTACCAGCAAAAAAGATTCCCGGTCATTAAAACCGTAATATTCTTATGCATCATACCTGATCATTCAAATACTCAAAACACGGTGGTAAGCTTATCTTCTATGATGAGGTTATTTTCTCAACAAATGATAGAAGAATTTGAGTTAATCACTGAGCCTCACGTAGAGGTTGATGACACCTTGTCCCCTGAAACTCTTTCTGCTATTAAATTAGCAGGCACATAACAGGATTATTGTGCTAGCTGAGTTAATTGGCCTAGAATACTGAGGGGAAATAGAGCTGGTACACAGCTTTGGAGATTAAGAGGTGTGTGAAGGTCAAGAAAACTAGAGTCCTTCATGTTTCTGCCAGCCAACCTCAGCATCTGCTTATTCAAGGTATACATTTTAGATCTGAGGAAATGAAACCACTGAGTTCCCTGAGATGATCCTTCTTTCAGATCCATTTACCACATGATTCCTGCAAATTCCTATGCTGAACTTGGGACCACATTTCTTGGGACAATATTGCCTATTATTAGCTGAATGTCTATGTACCCTATACCCAGACATCATAGAGAATCCTCTTTCCCCATTAGTGTAATTATCAAATGGTGTCAGATGTCTTAGGGGTGATTATGAATTTTCTTTTAAGAGTCTTAAAGAGTCCTCTCAAAGATTATCCTCTTCCTTGGTGTGTTGACTTGGATCTTTCTTTTAACAAAGCATGAAATTGATGGTGCATATATCATTTTGGGTCATGGAGAATCAATTCAGCCCATCTCAGGAATAGAATTTGCTTTGGGTTACATGATGTCTGATGGTTTATGGAGGGGAACACTTAATGATTAAATTTTTTGATATATTTTGACCAATTTTGCATGCTTATATCTGGTAATCTGAGCAATTTATGTGAAGAAAAGAATTTTCAGTATAACAAGCATTGCTGAATTCCTACAATCCTGTCTA